ATAGAACAGTTCGTATGTAACGATGGTGTATAATTAAAATTTAAAATAGTAAATAAAGAATTTTATAGTCATTTATAAATAAAACCTCGATTGACGGGCTTCAACAAGCGATTACACTGAAGTATCCACAGTGAAGGGAATGAATAGCAGCTATGTTGGGTGAAATGTCCAATCCTTCTTGGACTCTTTTCCTGAAAACCTTTAGTAGAAGCTTGAGGATGTACTAGGTATATCATGGGGAAACGCAGACAGAAATGGCACGCTCTCCGTCGAGGAAAACAATAAAATAGATACACTTTGATACACTTTGGAAGCATCCCTGCTAGCGTGGTATTCTTTCCTACTCGTCATGTTGCATCAAAAACTCGTTATTTGAAGGATTGTCGCTCAAAAAAGCTCAATATATTTTGGAAACTTCTAGCTTCACTTCTTCGCTTGCGAAAAAAAAAACAACGCGCGTGTTATGGCCAGAAATGAGACTGGACCGAGTATAAACCGAGATGCCCAACTTCCGGTGGAGTCCCCAGGCAAAAACAATCGCAGACATGCGCAGAATGGACTGTAACCTACCTTTAATATGCATATTACAATATTACTTCGCGGTCGAAAAGTGATATTCCATTCGCTTGCCAAACTATATATATTGATTGCCTTGCTACATGTTTGGTACCAAAATACTCGTCGAAAGCTTCTCTTTTCGTTCCCGTAGTCATTGCTTAGCTACACCCTAAGCCTGGTAAACCAAAGGCCACAACTTGAGTGCATACTTCATGATTTGCTTTATAAACAACACCCACGCGAATATTTGAAATTCCGGATGCTTTGATAGGTCTTAAAAGGATAATTAGGAATTCTTGTGGATAAACGGAAAAGCCGCTGACCGACTGGTACGCTTGCACAATGTCCGTCATTTCTGGCCATGAATAAATTTACATGGTGTTTCCACAAACAAAACCATTGGTTTACAAATAACAATGAAACACAATACTAAAACTGAAGGACAATTTTTTTAACGAACGAATCACAAACATTTATCACTTGTATTTGAGCAAGTCAATCACAAAACATGCTCTATTAATTTGTTTCGTCCAAAACCTTTTATGCCCAATTCAAACGTCGCGCTTATCATGAGCTAGACTTGTTGCAAGTCTCTCTCGAATTCAGTTTTGATACGGTATATCCAGTCAATTATGAGATCAGTGCATGGCTTGGATGCAACAACTGATCTTATAACACGGCTATCGAAAATGAAGTGTGAGGCCTGACGCTCCGTCATAAGCCTCGCATAAAATATCATTCGTAAGCAGTACATTATCTACTTTAATAAAAGTTATGGAAGTTTGCTTATAAAACGTATTATTTTGTACCACTACGCAGTCAGGCAAGCACTGTCGGTACGCCAGATATTTAGATTGTGGGTTAGCGTTGAAATGGTCTGGATGGAGTTGATATCTTGGTTGAGCATTGCTGCAAACGTTACACACACGCATCAGATTCACTGAATTGTGTGTATAGTTCGCATTATAATAAGCTTCCGACGCTGCAAGAAAAATTCATGACAGATTAAAGTTAGGGTGTAATAATCACCTTTCCTTGCATTTGAGACACGAATTGCGTGAAACGTCACTGCAGGGATTATTCTAAGGTGCAGTGATAACCAATTTGTGCAGTGATAAATGTGATTTGTGCATTGATAATTTAGATTATGTGCAGTGATAAGATGCGCCGATATTGTTCAGTACCAGAAATTGGTGACAAAATGGCCACTCTGCATATAATCCACATACAATGGCTTTCAATTTTTACTGGGAATATACAGGGTTAAAGTAGTTAACTCAAAAATTATTGCAATCTGAGAGCTCGGCTACTGTTTGCCGACCTTTTGATCAATATAGCATTCATTTACAAATGTTTCGGCGGCATATTTATTCCGATCGGTACTCTCTCCTAGCGACCAAGTCGTGTTCAAGAAAATCACTTTTTGTTTTGAGATTTTTGACGCTGTTTGGTGACACAATCAACAGTTTATAATTAATCTATTTCACGAGTATGAAAGACTAGATCTTGAGCAATATTGCTGGGTGTTTTACATGCGATTTAAAAGATGTTTGAAATGTGTATATATTTGCATGAAATTGAATATGCAGAATGCAGATTTGGGCTCATTAGCAGTGACTTTGTGTCATTTGCCTGCATATACTGTAATTATATAGTGACATGCAAGTTGCACAATCAGAATACATGCACTCATGCAGGGCAGTCAGAACGTTTTCTAAAATGTCGCTAAATTGATATAAATTTTATCATTTTTCGCGCTTTGGTGCAGTGATCAATATTCTCCTTAGAATAATCCCTGCGTCACTGAGTCGAAGGCTGGCTAATGCAGCTCGGATTTCCCTCATGGAGTACAGCTACGTTACTGGAATGGTTGCTTTTTGGTGGGAGAGGAAAACCTGGGGTAGAGATCCCGGAGAAAATCCCTCAATGTGCCGGAAAGAACGAAGGACATGCCCCGTTTTCCACTGGACGAATATTTTCACGCGCAGCTGCTTTATATCCTTTGTCACACATTGTTCATCACGTCAGCAAGAGCGATGCTGACAAAGACGTTTCGTGCGAATAAATCCGCCTAATGGAAAATGCGCTTTAAATGCGTTTTACGAAGCGCATCAAGTAACAATACCTTACCCTAGATACTCATTATAGCAGTTTTGACTCAGTGATGAGGGGGGAGCTCCCGTGTTCCCCCTGGTTTTATTTTTTCATCAACATATATATGAACATGTCTTATGAACATCAATCTATATATGAACATGTTTTATGACTATCAGTAAAATCACAGAAGAAATTTTCTAAAGAACGAAAGAAAGTTAATCACAAAACATGTTCATTTTAGATATTTGCTCGAGCTCACTGTAAGCTGGACTAACCTTCGTTATTAGTTACGGTTTTATACAGTGTACTATCCCTGTAATTGAAGGTCCCACATTTACAAGATGTATGATTATAAACCACATATTTATAAAACTTTTTACTGCTTGGATCCCGATCTTTGTTTGTTACATCCGGAACCACTATCTCAATTTCTGCCATTGTGTTTGGAACCGGATACCCAGACGGTCCATTGCTAGAGCATTCGCCCACCTCAACTTTGACACAGCGATAAACTTCGATGAAATATTGAGGTCTGGATAGTGGGGTGGCAAAGTGATCATCGTATATTGAAATCACTTCTCTTTGTGGTCCTAAAACAAAAGAATCAGGTATTGGTGGGTTGGTTTGAGTAAACTATATTACTTTATTTTCTTCTAGATACAAGACATCTGCATACAATGTGTGACAAAAGAGAACATTTTGGACATGCTTAAACTATTTAATTCAGATTGATATGAATTAATGAGAGCCAAACATCGTTACGGTTTAAGAAAGGTATCATAGAAAAGCTAAATAACAGCTCTTTCGTCCTATGTAAAAATTGAATTGAATTGTTTAGCTAAGTTTGTGATGCACAACAGCCTGTTGAATTTCCATAGCGTTATTTTTTAGAAACCATGTATATTTATTGGTTCGAATTGTTTCAAGTATCATAATATACCGTGCAAAGATATGTGTAAAAAACTAAAGTTTCGAATTACCTGTTATTATTTTTAGACTAGATTCTACAACTGATAGCATGATGAACAATAGCAAAATGTTAAGTCCAACGTGTTTTAAGTTTAAAATCTTGATATCTAAAGAACATGGATGAAAATATTAATTTTATCCAATCTTCCAATTTATCAAACACAATCGACGTTAACCGTTTATTCACTTTTCACCCAATGGACTCGTTTTCATGTCAAATATTTACTCATGTTTTGTGCTTAGTAGGGTTGAAAATTACTTTATTATTGAGCCTATAAGAACAGCAAGAAACAAATTCGTCCAGGAAAACATGGGAATATAATCTTTATCTGCCCCTGACAAGCTAAAATAAGTTAACATGGAAGCGAGGCCATTGGGTAAAAGAGATTATATAATAACTACAGTGAAACACGCAATTTGATTGGTCAACAGCCGTGCAGGATCAGACAATCCTGCACGGGAAATTCTGAACAGAAATTCTTGCACATAATTTTACAAATATACTCGCATTGTAAAGTTTCATTGTACGATACTTTTCGACTTTGAAGTATAAGTTTCTAATTATTGAGACGTTGGTTTAGTTCTATGAATAAATTTCTGATCGATACATTCCTGTTCGAGCAAGTAGCAACGCGTAGCGTTTAAATTCATCAGACCATGGCAAGTACAACACCTCTCGAGCTCGCTAGTCGCTTCAAAGTTCAAACGCTTCGCAATCTTCAAGTATTCATGTCCAGAATCTTTTCATATAACTACTTTGGCTCTCTGTTTAGCGGGTTATTCATTTCAAAGTTCGTAAATTTTATCGAAAAAATCTCCGTATTTTCGCTGTATATTTTCGCGAATTTGCGAACATCCCGCGTGCATGGATCACGCAATCCTGCACGGAAAACCATTCGGTATTCCTTTAATAATCCATAAGGTCTATTCAGCACTACGATTTGAACAAAACTTGTACACTGTATTATGATTTGATTTGATTTAAACTTTATCAAATATTAATTAGTATAAATTACGGCAGTGTTGAAAAATGGCTTTCAAGCGTTTTTACTGCTTAGGCTGCTCTGAGCAGCCCAGTAACTATTTCTTTCAAAACAAAATGGCTGCCAAAAATCCTCCAAATGCAAAAGAAGCAACAATATATGGCGTTAACCTACTTCCGAAATACAAAGGTACCTTTTACATGCCTAAAACAATTTATTTGGCAATTAAGAACCGGGAAATAACAAAATCGGACGACAATATTCCGACAGCTGGATTCGTTCGACTCGAAAGCGGGAGAGTGAAAAAATAATAATAATAATAATAATAATAATAATAATAATAATAATAATAATAAAAGGATTTATTTTAAAACGATGTGGTCGTGTAACTAAGTAACAAATTCCACGAAAACATGACTATAGAGTAACTGTTCACTAAAGCATAATTGTTCACATAAAAACACATAACAAACAATCACATTATTTGACACTTGCATGACCCAAACTATTATACACACATCTATTACAACTTAAGTGCTTTAACAGACTTTTTAAATTCTTTAAACGTTCTACTAATTTTCAGTTCAAGGCTCAGTCCGTTCCATAGACTAACAGCTTGAAAGGAGATTGATTTCTTAAGAAAGTCCGTGTTCGGTTTAGGAAGTTTATAAGTAATTTATTTCTAAGTTGGTAGCGGTGAACATTTTTCGAAAAGATTGACTGCAAAGTTGGAGGAGATAATTCATGATAGCATTTGTACGCTAGGTATACAAGTCGTTGTTTGTGCATATCATTGAGGGTGAACCATTTAGCTTTGTTGATGACGTCTTTCTCGGGGGTGTTCCAATCGAAACCAAAGATGATCTTTGCTGCGCGAACATGTATCTTTTCCAATTCATCAAACAAAGTTTTCCCGCAAGATCCCCATATCAAGATTCCGTAAGTTATAGAAGGTGAAACAACTTTGAAGTAGAAGTCCAGTTTTGCGTTAATCGGTAAGAAATATAATGATTTAAGGAGATTTAGTTTTTTGCCAAACGATATAATTAAAGATGAAACATGGATGTTCCATTTCAAATGACAATCTATTTTTAGACCTTACATCTTGTTGACTCGACCTTCAATGGACTCGACACGTTTTATCTGACTTTCGCCTAAGTTTAAGCACTGAAGAGGACCAATAAATTTTCTTCGACTCATGATCATATACTCAGTTTTATCTGGATGAGGTGTTAATTGAAGTAAATTATATTTAGAATGTTTGTATATATTATTATTTTTCAATACTGAATTTATACTAAAACAATTTGTCACGTCAGGCTCGGTAATCAGAAGACTATAGTCACTTCGCGCTCAGTGAATATAGGCCTGTAATCACCTCGCTTTCAGTGACTAATTGTTAATTAGTACGCACATGCAGAGTACAATCACTCAGCACATATTAAACAACTAGTTTCATAACACTGGGATCTTATCTGTATAAGTGTTAAATGCTAATATATTTATTGACACGAAATTCATCTGCCCCCCTTTCAACAAAAGAATCTCATTAACTTCTCAGTGAATTTGGCACAAACATGGCGGCCGTGCTATTGTCTTCTTTCTCAACCGCCAACGGGATTGATTGCAAGTCAATAGGATGATAAGGGATAAGTGATAAGGGATAAGTGATAGGGGGGGGGGCAAAGGTATTTTCGTGACTAGCAATTATTCGTGCTTCGTGATTTGAAGAAATACTATTCCGTGAATCGTGATTAATACGCGTGCCGTGAATCGTGAAGAGCTAAAATGGCTAGCTAGGGTCCTGAATTTACCAATATATTACCCTAACTTGTGAATATTTACGTTTAAAACTCAACCCAAATTTAATATTAAGGTTTAAAGAAATGAAAAATTTGTTTCCCGCGGCCGGTGTTTCGTGAGGTTTCTTCGTCATCGTAAACGTTGTGGTCGTATACCTTCATACCTCTTCGTAGACCATCGTAAGACGCTTGTAATGCTTCGTAATGCCTCGCAATGATTGGCATAGTCATTTAAAAGCTCTAATGTTAAACTCAGTAAAATGTGTTTGTGATAACATCGATTTCTGCTGTCTAAAAAATCGTTAAATGGTTTCAGACTTTATTACGCTTCTGTGTTTCTAAAAATCGTGAAAATGAAATTTTGGGTTTTCGTGACTCGTGACAATCTCGTACTCAGAGTAATGCCTGTACGCGGGCTAGGATGGCATTGGCTCTGGGGAAATTGAATTTTTTCTGTGCTGTGATTGGTTTAACGTTTATCAATCAGGGTGCATGCCGACAAAGAACCGGAACCCCTAAATTTAGGGGTTCCGGTTGTCAATTTCCCCAGAGCCAATGCCATCCTAGCCCGCGCACAGGCATTGCTCTGGGTACGAGATTGGACTCGTGAAGTCTAAAAATTATCTCCGTGATTTCGTGACGAGAACCCCCCCCCCCCCACCTTGACCCCCACCCCAAGAATACCTGTACAAATGTTTGAAAAGAAAAATAATCAAGAAAAGAGTAGAAATGCGTGTGATCAATAAGCAAACATCACGAGAAATTTAAGCTTGCTTTGACATGTACGAGTATGTTCTTAGCGGTCTTTCCTCACGTGGAAGTTTTGTTTCGGGTAACTGCGTGGCCTCAGAAACGGAGGTGAATTGGCAGATTAATTAATCTTTCTATAATTTAATCATGAAGAAAATTGGAACGAAATTAATGTTTAATCAATAGCTGTATCGGATGTAATATTTCATATCCGAGTTAGTGTTTTAGACGTGGTTCCTAAATACAAGTGCCATATGAACTAACGAGGATTTGAAATTGCTTCTCACACATCATTACATATTCATGTTCATAGCAATGAGGCATAACATTATTAGATAATCAAAAATTGTATAAACATCTACTATATACTCATGCTTTATTCATTGCTTAAACAATTCTCATTTTCACACCGACCTGGAAGTGGAATCCTGAGGAACGCTTGCCTTAGCAAGAAAATCGAGGAAGATTTATTTATCTCATACTTCCTTATCTGTCATTTGAGACAGGTAACTGACATAAATACAGCAAGAGCTTTGTTGTTACATCCTCATTGGCTTGTGGGGGTATTTGTCTTTTCGCAGTCATGTCTGTTATGTAAAACGAACATTCTCAATTGATGTTTTACCGGATTTGGTACGGCGATTCATTGCAATTACAAAAATTTACAAACTCATTTCGACATTATAGTATCGTTATTTAAAATTTAGTCAAAAGCTCTATTTAGAAACAGTTTAATAATCAACCTACGTCTTGTGCAGCAATTTGAAAAATATAAATTACGTCAATATGAGAAAATGCGACTATACTTTCGAAGAGAAAATTAATTCATCTCAAAATAATTTTCATTTCTTCTTGAAAACCAACTTATTCTAATACAACTTGGCAAATATTGTGAAGATTAGGAAAATGACAGCAATATCACTGTTAGTGAATGATAAATATATGTTTGAGTGAATAAATGAACGAATGGTCAACTCAATGAATGAAATTAGAATCAAGATACATGAAAAAGATTTAAAAAATAAGTCGAATTCCACTTACCTGCCATATTTGAAAATTGGAATGACTTGAAAATCTATCCTTGTCTCTTTTCGTCCAGGTCAGCAATGCAACTGACTTTCCAACTCACAGCCGCCGAATTTATATGCTTCATTTCAGTGAGAGAATATGTTATAGTTAACTACAAAATAACATAATTTCGGAAGCTTGGGGTCAAAAATTGCCCCTTAATTATTACAATAGCCTATTTTTGTGGTAATTGAGAATGGTACATTTTGCTTTTGCCAATAAGGCAATATGGGCTATACGTAACACGTCATTAACATTATGGATGTGAGCCATGGCCAGAAATTCAGGACATGCGCCCGCAATATATCTCAGCGGTTTTTCCTCTGAAAAGTTATTCATACCTAACAAACGCAAGTTTTAACTAAAAAAATACATTTTGCTTGGTTTTTTGTTTAACTAAAGCAGAAAAATAGATATAATAGGTACTGTCGGCCTTTTACATACCGTTCATTTATTATGATGGGATATAAAGTGATGCGCATGATAAACGACTCTAATATTTTGTGTATACATCGTTATCCCTCTGTGTAACCCGCACTGGAAGAAAGCCTGGTTCCTAAGCTTCTTGTTGATATCAAACATGGAATTCATTAAACATCGTTCTTCTTGCAATGTTTTACGGTCTACGGACAGGGTATTTATGGGTAAATATCAACATTTTGTCCCGTAAATTGGAACAAGTTAAAAAATTCGTATCACTATGAAATTATGTAGACAAGCAGGGGACAACATATATTTTACGACGCGAAGTCTGCAAATTTCACGAAGGGTTCGAGGGATACATGCGGCCAGAGCAAAATGTACGTTTTCAACGATTTTCTCAAGTTTTATTATACTTTATTATACGCCGATGTACTATGAAGTGAACTTGAATAATGGAACAACTTATAGGTAAGATTTCGATGCGAAACTTTTCTGTTTTATGGTCCAGATATAATTTATAATATTGCGAAGTCTGCAAATGACATAGCTATTATCAAACACGTATAAATTGAAAAAAACCGCGCCACTCCTAATGATTTATATAACAAATCCGCCATTTTGTTTGTGAAAGTTCGCACATGCTCAGAATCCATGTCTGCA